AGCCTGGTGCTGCCTTGACAGCTTTTCGGCCTCAGCCCCAAAGCCAGCCCGCCGCGCCTCGAGCTCCCGCTCCTGAGGCTCAGCCCTCAACCTCAGCCCCGACGCCCCGACGATGCTGTTGTCGCCTCTGCCTGTGGCTGCTGCCGCAGGGCTGAGTCCTGCGCGCGCTCCCGGGTCTGATGGCTGACCAGGCAGGCAGTACGGATGGTGGCAGAGCGGTCCCGGCTGCGGCAGTAGGCCTGTCAGCAGGCAGAAGAGGTGGTGGATGTGGGAGCCGGGGCTGCAGGTGGCTGGAGAGGGCCCGGGCTCATCTCTGGTGGGTAGGGGTCGTCACGGAGGCTGTCAGAGCCCGGCAGCCGGTGGACGATGGAGCTGTGGGAGATGATGGCGTGCTCGCCCTCCCGCATCGCGGCCGTGTCCCGGGCTTCAGGGCCTGTGCCTCCTTGTCAGAGGTGTCTGCCAGGCTGTTGACTGAGCTGCTCTGGCTGGAGGGCTCTCTAGACCGGCCCGTGTCTCGGCCCGCTGCATGGAGGGCTTGGTCTCCTCCTCTGGGGCCTCAGTGCCAGGGCCACTGGGCGCCTCTTGCAACATATCTTCTTCATCTTGCGGTACTGCACGTTGTCTGACTCCCGGACAGCATCTTGGTTCTCTGGATTAAGTCCATGATGACTGCGGGTGGCTGCTCCCGGAGCACAAAGCGGTGCTTCAGAAGAACTTCTGAGGTTGGTCTGTCTCGAGGGATTTTCTGAAGGCAGGAGTCGACACAATTCCGGAGGTACTCAGACCAGTGTCCTGACCGGAGCACCGGAGACTCGCTCTCTGCAATGTGATATAAGGCACTCATCACATTCATGCAAAACAGCGGTGGTTTCCATTCCGCCAGCTTGGTGCAGGTGATGCCTAAGGACCGAGACATCCACCTTGCCATCGTCCTGCCCCCTCATCCATTGCCAGGATCACCTCTGGAGCCATCCAGTACGGGGTGCCCACGAAGGAGTTGGCAGGTGCCATGACGGATGCAGAGCCGAAGTTCCCCAGTTTCACCAGGCCTGGCTCTGACAGCAGAATGTTTCCAGCCTCACATCCCTACGGATCACGTTGTGGGAGTGCACATAAGCCAGGCCGTGAAGGGCCCCGTGGTTCACAGCTGCAATCTCCACCTCCTGAAGGGGCTTCTTGTGCACTTCTAGGAGGTCAGAAGCTGAGCCCAGGCGATACTCCACCACCACCCAAGCCATGTGCCTCCTCAGGTAACAGCCCCGGTACTGAATGGCGTCGGGATGCCGGAACTTCTGCAGGAACCGCACCTCCTTGATGATGTCCTGCCGTTTCTCATTTGACTGCTTCCCACTGTAGGACACCTTCTTGAGGGCCACCACCCCACTATTCCGGACATCCCCGGCAAAGTACACGGCTCCAAAGCTGCCATGGCCAATTTCCCGGAGGTCACGGAAGAGCTTTTTCGGGTCGTTCTTGAAGAAGAGCTCAGCCACGTCGGGGTCCTTCAGGCTCCCGGCCCGGCATGGTGGCCCCTGGGGGTCCTGAGAGTGGGGCTTGACCTGCTAGGGGTCACTCTGGTGCCCAGAGTCTCCACCTCCTCCTGGGGTCCGCCAACGGCTCTGCCAAGCAGGGAGAGGGCCAAGGAGACCTTCCCCCTTGCCACCTCTTCCCCCAACCTCCCGCCCCTTCCTGAGGGGTCCCTCCTCGAGGGCGCTGGCTGCTGAACCCCGGATTTCTGACTGTGGGTTCTGAGCCACAGAATCTGATATTTGAACTCATGGGGAATGAACCCCGGATACTGGTGCATGCAGGGTCCTGAACCCCAGAAACAGAGCCCCAGGTTTAGAGAGGAGTCCCAGATATCTGGAATCTCAGGAGACGAGACCCGGATATTTCAGAGGCGTAGGGTCAGGCCCGGAAATTCGGGACAGAGGGGACTGAGCCCCAGGTTTTTGGCCACTGATAGGGGGCCTACCTGGAGGATTCCGACGGCACAGCCCCTCTCACACCGGAGTCCGAGGGTGAGAGCCCCCACTCCCACCCCGGCCCCCTCCCTTTCCCTTTCTCTCTCTCGAGGACAGCTGAAAGATTGTACGTAGCTGAGGGCGGTCCCGATGCCCTCTGCCCCTCTCTTCTTCTCAGTCTCCGCCTCTCTCCTCACCACAGCCCCCGTCGTCCCAGTGTCCCTCTCCCTTTTCCTCCCAATTCCAAGATGGAGACAGGGCGGGAGCCTTTTCTAGGTTTTAAAATGCACGCAGATTGTTTAAGAAAAAAACAAACCAAACCCATGAACGCATCCTGTGATTTCTCTCTACCCTCCTGGGGTAACCACACTGGTGTCCTCCAGAGCTGTATCATCTTTTAAATACTTGCCAAGTGATGGGCTCAAGGATTTCATTGTTATTTTAATTTGCATGCCTGTATTCTAATGAGGTGGAGCTTTGCTTCGAGCATTCATTATTCATATTTCTTCTTTTGTGTACTTCTGGTTCTTACCCTTTGCCCCTTTCCCACCTGGGGGGAATTTAATCTTTTTCTTACTGATTTTTTTTTTTTAAAGAAGATGTTGGGGGTAGGAGTTTATTAATTAATTATTTTTTGCTGTGTTGGGTCTTCGTTTCTGTGTGAGGGCTTTCTCTAGTTGTGGCAAGCGGGGGCCACTCTTCATCACGGTGCGCGGGCCTCTCACTATCGCGGCCTCTCTTGTTGCGGAGCACAGGCTCCAGATGCACAGGCTCAGTAGTTGTGGCTCACGGGCGTAGTTGCTCCGCGGCATGTGGGATCCTCCCAGACCAGGGCTCGAACCTGTGTCCCCTGCATTAGCAGGCAGATTCTCAACCGCTGAGCCACCAGAGAAGCCCCTCTTACTGATTTTTAAAAAAAATTTATTTATTTGGCTGCCTCAGGTCTTTTCGTTGTGGCACGCAGGAACTTTGTTGCGGCATGCAGGCTTCTCTAGTTGTGGTGCACGGGCTCCAGAGCGCGTGGGCTCTGCAGTTGTGGCAGGTGGGCTTAGTTGCCCCGCAGCATCTTAGTTCCCGGACCAGGGCTCAAACCTGCGTCCCCTGCATTGGCAGGTGGATTCTTAACCACTGCGCCACCAGGGGGGTCCCTCTTACTGATTTTTCTCTCTTTTTTTAAACATCTTTATTGGAGTATAATTGCTTTACAATGGTGTGTTAGTTTCTGCTTTATAATCTGTAACTGATTTTTAAGAGCTCTATGGGAGGCAGAATTACGGGCCCCATGACCTCCCCCTCCCCATCATGCTTCTGGTTATGGTCAGTTAGATGGCAAAAGAGATTTTGCAGATGTAATTAAGGGTACTAATCAGATGATTTTTTTTTTTTTTTTTTGTGGTACGCGGGCCTCTCACTGTTGCGGCCTCTCCCGTTGCAGAGCAGGAACCCGTGTCCCCTGCATCCGCAGGCGGACTCTCAACCACTGCGCCACCAGGGAAGCCCTGATCAGCTGATTTTAAACTAAGGAGATTATCCTGGATTATCCCATGTGTTCAGTGTAATCACATGAGCCCTTAAAAGCAAAGAGATGCTGCAGAGGGGGAGGTCAGAAGGATTGGAAGCACCTTGCTGCATCTTGAAGCATCTCATTCAAAGCATGGGAGGATTCAGTGCTCTCTTCCTGGCTCCGATGATGGAGGGGGCCATAAATAAAGAAATGCAGTAGCCTCTAGGAGCCAAGAATGACCCCCAGCCAACATCCAGCAAGAAATGGGTACCTCAGGGCTTCCCTGGTGGCGCAGTGGTTAAGAATCCGCCTGCCACTTCCGGGGACACGGGTTTGAGGCCTGGTCCAGGAAGATCCTACATGCCGTGGAGCAGCTAAGCCTGTGCACCACAACTACTGAGCCCACGCTCCAGAACTACTGAAGTCCGCACGCCTAGAGCCCGTGCTCCACAACAAGAGAAGCCACCGCAAGGAGAAGCCCGCGCGCCACAAGGAAGAGTAGCCCCTGCTCACCGCAACTAGAGAAAGCCCGTGCGCAGCAACGAAGACCCAACGCAGCCAAAAATAAATAAATAAAATAAATAAATTTATAAAAAAGAGAAGAAATGGGTACCTCAGTCCTAGCCCCATGGCAGTGAATCTGCCACCCACCTGGATGAGCCTAGCCCAGGTGGGCTGAAACCTTGACTTTGGCCTGCTGAGGCCTTGAGATGAGAACCCTGCCCAGCCACTGGACTTCTGACCTCCGGGACTTAGAGATAATAAGTGGGAGTTGTTTTAAGCTAAATTTGTGGTATTGTGTCACTGCAGCAATAGAAAAAAAGCTCTTTACATATTAATGTTGGAAATACTTTTTATATATAGTGTAAATATTATTTTCAAATGTATCACTTGTCATTATAAACTTTACCCTCAATTATACTTAACCTCCCTAATTTCATTATCAGAGGGTAAATTCAAATTCCATTTTGGGGGATGACCTTTGGCGTCACTCCCATGTACCCAAAAGTCACATGCAAAACACAGATTCCTGGGCCCTGCCCCGAGTTTCCGACTCAGCGGGTCTGAGGGGGCCCAAGAATGTGCATTTCTAACCCGTGCCCACGTGATGCTGACGGAGCTGGCCGGGGACCACCACCCTTTGAGAGAGAAGGCCTTCCTTAGAAGGCCTTAGAGCCCCGCCCTGATGGAAGGAAGCTGAGCCCCACCCGCCAGGAGGCGTGGTCGGCTAAGCCCCCGCCTCCAAGAGCAAGATCTCCGTCTTCATTGGTTGGTAGGAAGGAGCGTCCTGTACATCAGAGGGCTGTCCCCGCCTCCACCCGAACCCCGGGGGCGGGGACATTGCGCCTGAGCAGTGGAGCTCGGCGCTCGCGTCTTGTGCTCGTGTGAGGTTCGGGTGGCCGGCTGTGACCCCATGGCAGACCCCCGGGAGGAATCGGAGCCCCTTCTGAGCCGGACCCGCGGCGGCAGTGCCCGCCATACTCCGGCGGGCGTACCCTCCTGTCACAGCGTCCAAGTCGGCCCTGGTGAGCCGCGGCCTGGGGAGGGGCCGGGCCGCGCAGGGGTGGCGCGTGGGGGTCCCGCCGGCCCGCGCCGCGTCACTGCTGTCCCTGCGGGCGCGCCCCGCTCTCCCGGCCGGGGTCCGAGCGGGCCCGGGCGGCGCGGCGCGCCAGGGAGCCGCCTTCCCGAGGGCGGGGCGGCTGCGCCGTGCGGACCCCGGCCCCGGCCAGGGCGCGGGCTTCAGCCCGATTCTGCGGGGTCGCGCCCTGCCTCCGACCGGTCGGGCTGAGACTCCTCGCTCAGCCCAGGGGCAGCCAGCCCCCTGAAGCCCCCTCGGAGCGCCCGGGGCCTCGTGCTTTCCGTGGATCACCTTGGTGATTCCTAGGAGGAAGCACTTCCGTTTTCCCCAGTTCTTACGGGGGAAAGTGAGGCACAGAGAGGGGCTTTCCCCTACCCAAGGTTGCACAGCCAGGAAGTGGCCGAGGTGGGATTCGAACCCAGCTGGGAGTGAATTGTGAGGCTCCTCCTTCAGCGTCGGCTTGGGGCAGGCCTCCCCAGACCGGGGCAGCTTCCTTCCTTCCTTCTCTGCAGCTCTATCCTCCTCTTCCTGTTTACCCGCAGAGAGATTGCTGAAACCCAAGGAGGGCGGGGAGGGTGAAATCCTTCTGTCCCTGGCAGACCCCAAGGGCACTGGGTGCTGGGTTAGGGATGGAAGGGCCTCAGCCTCGTTTTGCAGAGGGGGAAACTGAGGCCCAGAGAGTGTCCAGGACCTGTCCAAGAACATAGACCTGGGATCTGTCTCAGCCGCTGCAGGCACCCACACTGGGTGCTCCTTCCAGGCCACCTTCTGTCTCTGGGCTCACTTTCCTCCTCTGTTGGGGAGGGGTCCGCAGTGTGTGTCTGTCCTGGGATTATTGGGGCGGGTCCCTGGCAGGAGATGGAAAACATGCCCACCTGCCCATCTCAGAGGCTGTCCTGGGAAAGTTCTCCGTCCAGTCCGTGCAAGACCTCCCGGGACCCTGGACATGGTGGCATTCTGGGGATGCAGCCTTTGCGCCGGGAGGCCACTTCCCGGCTGTGTGACCTTGGCAGGTTGCCTAACCTTTCTGAGTCTCAATAAAAGGGGGGTGGTCGGGGCGTTGTGAGGATTCAGAGAGAGTCCAGGTGCCTGGCCAGGTGGCAGAGCTGGTGCACGTCAGTGCTGATGGCCATTCTGGGCGGAAAACCCTGATCACTGCAGGTCCAGCCCCGGGAGAGTGCATGGAGGACAGGTGAGACCCACCCTAGGGACAGGAGCCGGGGCAGGCAGTGTGGCTGGTGAAGGGGGACCCTGGGGACGGCTTTTTGTCCCGACGCCGTGGCCTTGGTGGGGGCTTCTGAGAACATGGACAGGACACTCTGTGTTCTGGATTTCCCCGGTCAGGCTGTCCAGCCAGGCTCTGCAGACCCTCATTCAGTTTCTGCCCAGCTCCCGTGCGGGGCTCCTGGATGGGGTCCTGAGCTCAGGGTCCACCTGTCTGCAGCTAGCTGGACTCTCCTACCGACAAGGGTGGGGGAGGGCTGCTGCTGGGTGCTCCGTGGACCCCAGTGGGCCCGGTGGTCAGGTCCAGACCCAGCCCCACCTCATGGGCCGTGACCACAGGGTGGGGATAGTCATTTTCTCTTCCTGTTCCTGGTCAGGGAATTACCCTCTTACTGGTTATGGAAAAGTCAGAGGACAGGGGGTCACTGTGCCATAGAAGGGGCTTTGAGAATAACAATAATAGCAAATGTTTATGAAGAGCTTACCGTGCATAGCACTTTCGCTACAGTAACCCATTCCACCTGCCCATCAGTCCTGTTGTGTAGGGCCCGCAGGAACTGAGGCACAGAGAGGGTCAGGGGCTTGTCCAGGGTCACAGAGGCAGCGAGTCAGGACCCCACCCAGGTAGTGGGGAGTGGGCAGGGGCTGGAGCCAGAGCGGGAGGGGGGTTTATTCTGGGATGTTGGGGAGGGCAGGCTTGGGGCGGGGGGACCAGTGCAGGGTTGAGGTGTTCGAGCCCCCATGTCCTCTGTGCTCCGACATTCTACAGTGGTTGGGGGGGGGGCGCTGACAGCTGATCGCCACCTGAGGCAAAGAGTCCCTAGACGCCAAGCTGGGGGACGGTGTTCCTGGTAGGGCCGACAGCCTGGGAGGCTTTGGAGAGCTTGGCCTTGGCGGAGCCACGTTCAGGGTGAGTGGTGCGGAGGGCACAGGGTGGAGGAAGCAGCAGGGGAGGAGGCGGGCAGGCGGGCGGGGTGTGCCCCAGAGCTGCCGGGCTGGGGGTGGAGTGTGGACTTTCTCCTGGAGCAGTGGGGACCCACGGAAAGCTGTGGTTGCTATCTGAGGGTTTGTGACAGGATCCCTCCGGCCACCGCAGGATGGGAAAGGGAGGCTGGTGTCGGGGCCGCAGAGCGGTGGGGGATGGCTTTCCTGAGGTTTGTGCCTTAAGGGCCGGGTGGCCAGAGGGAGCCTCTTCCGCTGCACCCAGTCCTGGTCCTGGAGCGAGCTCTGGGGGCCCTGGCTGCCTGTCTCTGCTTATCCAGGAAGCTTGTCTCGTTGGATCTCTCCAGGCTGAGTCCCATTCTCACCCGGGGATTTGGTGACATGGGGCCTCTTGCGGCCCCTCAGATCACCCTGCCCTCCCAGGCTCCCCTCGGCTGTTCACTCAGTCGATCAGTGGGACTTGTGGGCTGCTGTGTGCCGAGTCCCACGCCGTCCTGGGCTCTGTGGGTACAGCAGGGAACAAAACAGGGTGCCTTCACATCACAGCGTTCCCGGGCGCTTCCAGGGGAAGCAGGCAGTCGCCACCCTCAGAGCCTCCGTGGGAGAACTTTCCGGCCCCTCACGTGAGCATGGAGGTCGCCCACGGGAGGAATCTGCGGCCCAGACGGTGGAGGGTGCTGTTTCTGGGTGACACAGCAAGGTGAAGGCGGAGACAGGACAGAGTCCAGCCTCCTGTCTCTGTCCAGGGTCCCCCACGTCCCCGGTGGGCACAGGCCCTGAGGACAGCGGCAGCTGCGTCCCTGGGGTCGGCAGGCACGGGCCCGGAGCCCTGCCCAGGTGCCCGGCCTCCCCCGCCTCTGGCCTCGACATCTCTGCATCTCTCGGTACTGGTTAAGGGTGGTTTGGGCAGCTGCTGGGCTCAAGGGCAGATGTGAAATTAGAATCTTCAACAGAAATGGTGACAGGCCTGTTCACCTCGTTTCCAAGCCCGGATCTGGGAGCTGCTGGGGGCTGTGTGCCGGCTCTGCCCCCCCGGGGCCTGGGCTGCGCCCTTTCCGGGGCCTCTCTGGGGGGTCCTTTGTCCTCTGAGCTGCGGCTCCTCATGCCTTTCTTGGCCCTTTACATCAGGCTTCTGTGCAAAGCTGCCCACCACGTGGTGGGCAGAACCCTAGGCCAAGGTGACACACCAGAGGTTTGAGTCATGTGACTTGTCCTGAAGGCCCCTCCTAGTCAGGAACCTGCACCACCCCAGCCTCCCTGGCCCCGAGGACCCCAGTCCCTGGTTGGTGAAGGTTCCCTTGCCTCCCACCCTCGGGGTGTCTCAGTTGCGGTCACCTGGCCCTGTGGGCCTGTGACACAAGCAGGGGGCCACGATGGCCTCAGAAGGTCCTTCTTAGTGCTGAGTATTTGATGGAGGGTCACGCAGCGCCTCAAGCTTCTAGATATCATCTTCCTGTGTGAGTGTTAAATCTGTGATCTTGTTTGGTGAGGGGGTAGGCCGGTAGCGCTGCCCCATCTTACAGTCGCGTAAGCTGGGGTGCAGCGTCCTGACGAAGGTCACCTGGAGTCTGGTGCTGGGACGGGGCAGAAGTGTGGCTGTGAGCACGTTCTGTGTGCCGGGCCGGCCCTGGGGGGTCCTGCACTTGCATTGGGGGCCAAGCTGTGTGGCTGTTAACACCCCCATTTGACAGGGGGAGATGGGCACAGTGAGCTTAAGCCCACGGCCCTCAGCCTTTGAGCCAGTAGGTGCGGAGCCGGGGTCTGAGCCCCCTGAGCCTGGTTCCGACCCACTGGCTGCTTTGTGCCCTCTGCCACTCCACCCCAGGGGGTGGGAACCGTGGGAGCTGCTGTTCCTCTGGGCCCGGAGCCCGTGCTCAGACCCTGCCCCACCTGGGGCCCAGCCCTTGGGGGTCCTGCCCTGTGGGCGTGCACACACGCTGCTGGGCAAGAGGCGTCTGTTCCAGAGCCTTGGAAAGGATGCAGCTGGGTTCTTGCCTTGCTCTTGGTGGCCCTGTAGTGGACGAGCGCCTCCCGAGGCCCCTCACCACCCTACGTGTCCCCTCCGCCCGCAGGTGCCGTGGCCAGGCGGGATCTGTGCTTGGACCAGGCTGTGGTGTTCATCGAAGACGCCATCCAGGTGGGCGGCGCCTGCTCCCAGCGGCTTGTCCCTGGGGCTCGTGGGGACTGCACGATGGCTGCCCCACTGGCCCCTTCACTCCTGCCATCCTGGGGCCAGGGCTGCGGTTGCTGGGCCGTGTGGTCATTGTGGCTGCGATGACTGGGCTTTGGGGCATGGTCCCCTCGAGTCCCCCTTAAGGAGACATGTGCTGGGTGCTCTTCTGTGTCCCTCGTCCCTCATTTCACTGATTCACCACCTGCCGAGGGCCTGTCGTGTGCTGCCCTGATCTCGGTCCCGTGAAAGATGCCCAAAGGTGGCAAGACCTTCCCCTGCCTGCAGACGACACACAGGCTTAATTAGGGAAAGAGACTGTAGAAGCCACCAGTGCCCCGCTTGGGGGATGAGGCTGGGGGCGTCCTGCATGGTGACACAGCTGAGGTGGGGTGGGGTCAGCCTTGCACAGAGGAGGAGAGAGCCTCACAGACAGGGCACAGCTGTGCATCCAGCCAGCAAGTGTCCGTCCACCTACTGGCCCTGGGGAAACCTTGCAGCTTGGGAGGGTCTGACCCTGCTGGGTCCCGACGAGCCCCTGGTCCCTGTACTGAGTGGAGGTGAACCCTGCGATCCCCAGCCTGTGTCCCCACCTCGGGCCTGTCGTGGGTGAGAGGGGTGCCCTGCACGGGGCTGGCTGTGCTGTGTGGCACGGAGGGAACCCTCACGTGCCTCGCATGACCGTCACTTCCAGTATCGCTCCATCAACCACCGCGTGGACGCCAGGTCTCTGTGGCTGTACCGACGGTACTACTCCAGCACGAGCCAGTGGTGAGAGTGCACGCACGATCCGCGGGGCTCCCGCAGCCGGGCCTGGGGAGGGGGGTCTCGGGGGGCAGGCAGGCTCCCCTCCCCGCCGTCTCCCCTCCTTATCGGAGCAGAGCCCGGCCCCTCTGTGGTGAGGGTTCCTTTCCAGAACCTTCCGGCCAGCCACGGCAATTGAGTTGTGCGCCGATACGTGTTATCTGAACACACACACGAGTGGCCACGGAGCAGGAAGTGTGGGCTCTAGCCTTTGGACCCTTCCCGGCATCCCGCCTGCTCCTCTGCTTCTTTGGCCCCGGAGTGTGGCTGGTTCTTTTGCCTTTTGACCAGTTTCGGTCCCTTTTCCAGGACTCTGAGCTTCACCATTTTCTTGATCCTGGCTTTGGCTTTTATCGAGACCCCCTCGTCACTCACCAGCACCTCTGACGTGCGCTACCGCCCGGCCCCCTGGGAGCCGCCCTGCGGCCTGACCGAGGGTGTCGAGGCACTCTGCTTGCTGGTCTTCGCGGCTGACGTCTCCGTGAAGGTGAGGGGGCTGCACAGGTGCTGAGGTTGGGACCCGCGCCCTCCCGGCCCGGCTGCTGCTTCCTGGGTTTACTTTTCGCGCTCCTGGAGCAAGCTGCCTGTCCCACTGTGCGCCACGGAGCAGAGGCCTAGGCTGCCTCCTGGACGGCTCTCCCCCCTCCCAGACCACAGATGGGGGACAGCCGAGCCATCGGGGGCGCACAGCCTTGCGGGACCCCGGGAAAGAGTGGCCGAGGGTCTGGCAGTGCCTCTGTGGGGAGAGACCCCCGCTGAACAACAGGGGACCGGGCGTCTCTCCATGGCCTACGCTCCCGCCCTGACAGAGGAGAAGCCCGGAGGGGAAGGGCTGCTGTCCCACCCCCGGCCGTGTGCAGCTCTGGCTTCCTGACGCAGGTCCTTCTAGAAGCTGGAGGTGGGCCCTGCCTTGCTTGCGTGAGCAGAGCTGTGTCAGGGCTTCAGAGCTGTAGTGACTTCCCATTGAGATGCAGGGTGTACCACTGGCCACGCCTTCTGTCACTTCTGACAAACAACAGCGATTCGCTGCTCCCGCCCGGCCCACGTGCACGTCCACACCCTGCCTGCAGGGCACCCGTGTGTGTGTGTGTGTGTGTGTGTGTGTGTGTGTGTGTGTGTGTGACTGAGGGCCCAAGCAGTTTCTTATTTCTTCCTTTTTAGCCTATAATGTGCTTAGGAGGTCTGGGGGCTTTTAAACTGGAACTGAGACTGGGTAGAAGTTCTCATTAGCCTGTTTGGAATGGTTGGTCCATTTGGGAAGTCTCGAAAGGTGAGAGAGAGCACGTGTTTTATCTGCAAGCTGTGACCTCCGGCGGGGGTCAGTGATGGGAAAGGGCAGTTAGGTGCGCCGAACAGGTGACGAACTCCCGCCTTCCCAAGGCACGTCCCCTGCGCATCTGGTCAGATTCCTAGGTGTTTCCGGAACGATTCCTAGGCACAAGCTACAGTGGTGGTTGGGTAGGCAGGACAGGCAGGGACCCCGTTACCCGTGAGGACACGGGCGCAGCCGGTCAGTGCGGAGCCCGGGGTCACGGGCTGCCCGGGGTCACCCGCAGGCTGGGCGAGGACCGTGGGCCTTCTGACTGTGGCTCAGATTCCTGCTATGAGTCCCGCGGGGACCGTGCTGCTCGCTGAGGCTGCCTAGCGCCCGCGTGCATCACAGGCCTCAGATTGACTGCCCGGCCGGGGTCTGTGTGGCCACCCCCCGGCTCAGCCGCATCCCTCTTGCAGAGCTACCTGGTTGGGTGGGCCCAGTTTCGGAAGAACCCCTGGCTGCTGGCCTACCTCGTGGTGCTGCTCGTGTCTCTCGTGGACTGGACCGTGTCGCTGAGCCTCATTTGTCAGGAGGTAGGTGGTGAGGCGACTCTGAGGGGGGCGGCGGGGAGCTCTGGGGGTTGGGGGGACGCAGCTGCCCAGGGGAACGGTGGGCGGGAGTCCCGAGGCCCTGCATCCGTCTGGCCCACCTGCCCGGCTCTGCCAGCCCCCCAGAGCACGTCAGTCACCACGGTCCAGGGAGCTTGTCCCCATCCAGCAGATGAAGGCACTGAGGCCTGGGGGAGGTACAGGGCCCTGGGGGCGAGTTCCGGGGCTCCTGCCCTGCCTCAGCCGAGCTGGCAGCCCCCAGCCTTGCTGACGACAGCATCTTTGTTCCCCCCGAACGCCCGGAAGCATCGCCCTGTGATTTGATAGAGCAGAGCTGGGAGCAGTCGGTTTGGGGACATCCTGAGCCATCAGGGCTGGTTGGGGAAGCACCCATCGGGTGCTTTAGTAGAGAGAATTTAACATCGGGCCTCAGACAGGGGATGAGTGAGCAAGAAATCGAGAAGGGGGCCTGGCGAACACAGACCTGCAGGCGGCAACCGCCCTGGCCCCCAACCTGGGGCTAGGGGAGGAAAGGAGGGAGATTGGGGTTATGGAACCTGGAAGCTCAGGGGAGGGGCTCCGAGAGCTGGGACCCTGCCCGCTGGGGACGGGGTGCTGGCTCCTCCAGGAGGTGCGACCACGATGCTGATTCTGGGGGTGCCGGAGGAGGGGGATACTGGACGCCCTGGGTGCTGCCGGCGGGAGAATCAAGGTGACGGGAGACAGCGGGTCCCCAGCCCGTGCCTCCCGCCTCCTTCCCGCTAGGCAGGGGCGGCCGATGAAGGAGAGGTGTCAGCGGCGGGTCCTGGCCCAGCTCACAGCAGGGCTGCAGGGCGGTGGAGGGCGCAGTGCCCCCTGCAGCCCCCGTGCCTCCGCCGTGGCCCTGTAGGAGCGCGCCAGCACATGCTTCTCCCCGAGAAGGTGCTGCCATCTTCGTACCAAGGAGGAGGCCCTCACCCGCCCCCAGAAAGCGGACAGACACC